ACGTCAACCGCCCCCTCCCCGACTTTACATCTGGATCGTGACAACTTCCTATTACTTAACAAAAGATATAAGTTGTTCAAGGAGTGTTAAGGATCTTGCTCAAAGAGTATGCATTAAACTTCTTCAAACTCTAGAACCAATGGTAATTCACATGTTATATCCCGAGCTCTGCACACAAAAATAAGTTTGTTCAGTCACTAAATCTACGATGGATCTGATCTCAGCTTAATTGTTTGACTTCATTCCAGCTTCTACTCGTTTAACGCTTTTCGCATTATACGTAATGGGTGGTCTAAAATTTAGAATTCTAATGAAACAAATTTTTGGAAGCATCCCTTTTGTACAGCTTGAGAATGAATGATATCGCCGAATATAAAGTAACTAACTCTCTTTGCTGAACGTCTGTCTCTTTCTTCATATGACTCAACGGATACTTTTTAATTGGCTTATATAATTTCAATGAAAATCCATTGACGGAGATTTAATTGAAGCGTAGATAGATCATTTACAGCTCAAGATGTAAACAGGCAATTTACATAAGTTTAGATTTGTCACCTAACTAAACTATACACAGGGCTCAGTATTGTGCCGACGAAATTGTCGACTTAATCTGCCAACTAGTAACAAGACTAAGTCGTATATTATTCATAGAGTTTTAGGTAACCAGGCTGGCGCTTAGAACACAAGCATATGAAATGTAACGATAGTGAAACTTTCCAAATATCTGGATGTCTCTATAACAACACGTATTCTGCGTTGACACTTTTGTTTATCTACAATTCATTGTAGGTAGGTTACGTACGTGCATTACAAGTAACTGAACACCTAAGCCAAATATCAATAAAATACTTCTAAATGTCACACACCATATAGAACGAAAAAAGAATAGAAAATAAATTTATGAGAGAAAGAATAGTATGATAATTTAATAGAAATGGAACATCACAAAAAGTGAATGTATCTGCGACATTGAGAACAGTTTCGAGCTATATAATCAGCACGAATATACATATATATATTCGTTCTAATGTTGTTTTATTCTTCTATCTTAGTTGGATATATTATTTAATGCAATAAGAATCGAATTTGTATAGTATGGTAGTTTTTCAATCCATAACTCGTCTGTTTATTAGATAGACAGATTATACAGTGAAAGAGTATGCAGAATTATTTATTGTCTTTCCGATGTATTGATCATATCTTCAGGCATTGACAGATTCTGGAACATAGGCCTACTTATTGGCATCCAACACTTGTTATATTGCTTGACTTAAAGACAGCATTTGATGGCTCCATCGTCTGAGAGGTGTTGTGGCAGTGTTCAGTCGTAAACGGAGTGCGCCAAGAAAGTATTTTGCATTAATCAAGGTATTCTAGTTGAACTCGTACTGTGGTGAGAGCAGGCTGCTAGTCAAAGTTGGTAGACAGTAATTGACGTCAGTGTTTATGTCCCCAATATTGGTGGTAAGAAAATGAGAACAAAGGCTTTGCGTAGGCGGATAGAGTTAGCATATGCATGATCTCACACAGCCACAAGAGATGCAAGGTTAACTTTCTGTGAGAAACAACCAATCAAAAGACTGTATTTTCTACTTAGAATAATCTACATTAAAATCTATAAATATGTGTTGATTTTCCTTAATAAACGATCTGTCGCCTGACCCTTGTCTTCTGTTGTTACAATACTACCATATAAGAGCTTATGAATGAACGATGACGACAATTAGTCGTGGTGTGCTTTTCAGGGATTCTCAGACTCCTCATTCTTCCTTAATTTTATCATGTATAGACTAATGGATGTGATCCCAAGTTACTTTGGTAAGTTAGAGGTTGACCTATATTATCAGGTAATAGTCACGTCGACTTAGAGTATGCAGATGATTTTCTCCTCCTGGTTGAAGACGCTTAAGAAAATTCACGTTTGTTGAATGTAAGATAATACTGTAGGATTGGTCTGCAGTTGAAAATCGTTAAACCTGTTGATCACTTCATATATTTTGGAAGTTGCATCGGCCCTAATTGATCGATTGCTGGTGTAATTTGATAGGTAATATTGAGGTTAGGCGTAGAATGTACTAGGTAAGGAACTAGGGGAACTCAGTCGACGAGATTGTGAAGCTGCATCGATTGAGATGGTTAGGACAAGTGTTACCCTTGCCAAGTTACTGCTTTCCTCAATGAGCAATGTTAGCCGGCACATGGTATAGCCCAAAAAGAGTTAGGTGGGGGGGTTGTAAGACGAAAACATGGCATCAGCTCGTAAAGTCTTCGACAGTTGGGCTGAACCACACAGAAAGAGATGTGAATTGTCTAGTTGAGATCCTCGAAATTTTAAGTAACAATGACTTGGGACTGCTGGTTATATGGCTCGAAACTGTTCTCAATGTCGCAGATACATTCACTTTTTGTGATGTTCCATTTCTATTAAATTCTCATACTATTCTTTCTCTCATAAATTTATTTTCTATTCTTTTTTCGTTCTATATGGTGTGTGACATTTAGAGTTATTTTATTGATATTTGGCTTAGGTGTTCAGTTACTTGTAATGCACGTACGTAACCTACCTACAATGAATTGTAGATAAACAAAAGTGTCAACGCAGAATACGTGTTGTTATAGAGACATCCAGATATTTGGAAAGTTTCACTATCGTTACATTTCATATGCTTGTGTTCTAAGCGCCAGCCTGGTTACCTAAAACTCTATGAATAATATACGACTTAGTCTTGTTACTAGCTGGCAAATTAAGTCGACAATTTCGTCAGCACAATACTGAGCTCTATGTATAGTTTAGTTAGGTGACAAATCTAAACTTCTGTAAATTGCCTGTTTTCATCTTGAGCTGTAAATGATCTATCTACGCTTCAATTAAATCTCCGCCAATGGATTTTCATTGAAATTATAAGCAAATTAAAAAGTATCCGTTGAGTCATATGAAGAAAGAGACAGACGTTCAGCAAAGAGAGTTAGTTACTTTATATTCGGCGATATCATTCATTCTCAAGCTGTACAAAAGGGATGCTTCCAAAAATTTGTTTCATTAGAATTCTAAATTTTACACCACCCATTACGTATAATGTGAAAGGCGTTAATCGGGTAGAAGCTGAAATGAAGTCAAACAATTAAGGTGAGTGATGTAATACAATTGTGTTGATCAGGTCCATAGTAGATTTAATGACTGAACGGACTTCTTTTGTATGCAGAGCTCAGGATATATATAACATGTGAATTACCATTGCTTCTATAGTTTGAAGAAGTGATAGAACATTATCACCACCAGGATCTCTTCAATATAAGATAGAAAGGGATCGATTATAAGTACCAGTACTACTGATCATATTCTTCAGCTTATTTGTTCAACGCAACACCACCACCAACATCAACAACAACATGACCATCCTTATTTATTACACCAGAAAAAAAAATACAATTTACAATTAAAAAAAAGTGTGTAAAAACTGATGTTTGGCTGATGATGATGACGATACAGGACTCGGAGCAAAAACAGCGCTGAGACGGAAGGAGAGACGAAGAGAGAGAGAGGGAGACAGAGCGCTGTTGACATGCTTCTCTACTGTTCAGTTTAAAATAATTATCGAATTGCCACATACAAAATAATGAGTCAACACAGAAGAACGTCTGATGATGACGATGATGGAAATCATCTAGTGATTGTCGTTGAAATTCAGCACAGAAAACAAAAAACAACTTCAGACCTCATGACCATCTCTTCAGCACAGTGTACAATTTTCTCATATTTCAGGGCTGATTTCGTCATGAAAAAACAAACAATATTAATAATAATAAAGACAAGTTAAATCACTAAACAATAATGGAAATCGAAGGAAAAGCAGAAGCAAGTGAAACCTACTCATCCAACCACCCACGCACACACACACACAGATATAGAAAGACGAGAGAAGGAACCAATCAGAGAGGAAACAACACCTCCAATGTTTATATTCCCTGAAATATTTCAAAATATCGGCCATTCTTAATAGCTCTTTTAATAAAACTAGTTTCTCATAGATATAAAACATAAGTTTAGAAGGAAACCAACAAGCTTATCGACAGGATAGTCTTAGAGATGAACATACAGTAGAATATATATATTACAATGCAAGAGGATGAAATACATCTTCAGAAAAATAAAGTTTTGTAATCAATTAAAAATTTTTTAAAAAAACCCCAACTAAATATACGCACACAAAAAACAAAGAATCTTATAAATATGAACAACACATACATAAAATACCTTTTTTTTAAAAAAAGGATAGAATTAGAGATGAAGTTTATCACATTTTTAAATTATGTATTGATATTAACCACTTCTGAATATAGTTCATCATCCCACACCGAGGATGTATGCAGAGTCCTTTGCCCAGTATTGATGTGACCATACGAGATGACAATAGAGACAGACGGAGAAATGTAGGCATATTCATCACAAAAACAGATATGTAAATGTTTTTCTTTTATATTTACATATCACAGATGTTGAATTGAGGAATAGAAATTCTGCAACACAGATGGTACAAGTGTAATAAAGCAAAATAATAATAATGATAATAATAGTAACACAACCCTTAGCAAAACACACCACCGCCTTGACAGGAAAAAGCAATCCAAAGCAAATTAACAACAAAAAGCAATTCTGAATACAGAAGATTTAAAAAGAAAGATAGAAAAATAATGAAGCAAACAAACGAAAACAATCAATAAAAGCCTATAGTATCACCTGAGTGAGTAGATTAGGTAGTAGTTAGTAATGCTAACATTGATGTAAAAAGACAAAGTGAAGTGTCACAGTCGACAACAAATAACACGTTCATCATTATTGCCGCCATTTCCAACCCCCCCCCGCGCCCCACTTAGAGTTACTAATCTCCGCCTCCACCTCCAACTAGTACTACTATTACTACTACTAGTAACTAAGTACAAATGGTGTTAATTAAAATAAGGTCTAAGAAACAAACATCACAATTGAATTAATCAAAATATTAAAACAATGGAGTTTTATGCTTAGTTTGATCTTTCACATAAGCACTGAAACGTTTCAAGAAACGTGGATATTCACGTCGAGCAAGTGAACGTAGACCAGCGGCTGGTACCCAACCACCTGGATTAATATTAGCCATATACACAAGTCTAGTTTGAATTTGATCACGGGTTAACTTTGATAAATCATCAATATCATTTGGCATCATTGACCCATTGTTGTATTTGTTATTATTGTCATTATTATTATTGGTTATTAATTCCGTTCGACAGAATAGAACAACTTCAAGACCTAATCGAACAGTAGGTGATGGTGATGGTTGTATTTTATCTGATAAATAATCAGTTGACATATTAATCACCATCCAACCGTCTAAAACCTTGTCATCATTGATTTTACTGTTTGGTGTTGAATTCTCTGGTATACTGGATTCTTTAGATAAATTATGCAATCGTGTATTAGTTGACTTTACAGATGACGAATCAATCCATGATGTACAACGACAGACCACCGCCACCGCCACCATCCATAGATGCTGAACGTTGATGGACTTTACTATGACTGATATTATTTTCATTCTTATCATCATCATCATTATCATCAGTATAATTCTTTGAGGATGGATGATGACTCATGGACATACTAGAGCTATGATTCAACTTTCGATGATAAGCTTTTTGATGAATAGGATTTACAGGGCAGATATGTGACCAAAACAATGCATCACGTTGTGTTGTCGGCCATACACGTTTATACACCTAAAGAAAGCAAGAGACAAACAAACAAACAAAATGAAATGAGTGGAATAACAGTAATGTATAGGTCTCAGCACTATATATGTGAATGTAGTCTCATATTCAACAAAGTGTTATTATTTATTTAATTATTGAAACGCAGAAAAAACTTGGTACAATATGGCACCAAGAAAGATGCGCCACACAATAATAATAAAACAACATAGATTAAAAGTAAAAATATAAGTAGAAAACGGATAAAGAACTTCATCTGAAAGGAAAACAGTCATGTTTAACAAGTTCAAAAATCATTCGTCAATTATTGTCGGAAAGGGAAGAAAGAAGAAAACTGCAACACGTTCGCCATTGATTACGATTCTTGGCCATATCCGATAACGTTCGAGCCATCGGTTCGGGCTATCTCGCGGACCCCAACCAGGGAGTCGTGACGCACCAACCGATGCTAATCTAGCACAAATATCCTTCATCCCACGACGCCAAGTCATGGACTGACCACCCCTCCGCCTTTTCCATCCCGTCCCAGGGCTAGCGAACAGAGACCTGTACGGAAGCCCCTGGGATGACATTCGCAGCACATGTCCATGCCACCGGAGCCGGTGTTTCCAGATGACGACACTCAATGAATGGTGATCTCCACTGTGTTCAAACACACGCCACCGAACCTCAGAATTACTCACGCGATGATGCCATCGAACGCAAGCAATCCTGTGGAGACAGCGATGATCGAACACGCCGCACATCCTCAGCTCGGAGAGGCCAGGTTTCACAGGCGTAGAGCAAGACAGCCCGCACCGAAGCATTGTATACCCGACCTTTGACAGCCAGGCTAACGTCGCGACGGTGCCAGAGGTGGCTCAAGTTGATGTATGCCACCCTAGCCTTCATTATACGGTTGGAAATCTCATCCGTCACCCCTCCGCCAGCACTCACACAACTACCCAGATTCACAAACTTATCAACAACTTCAAGCGGTTCACTCGCAAGAGTTAGTGCAGGTACAGGCTCCTGCCAATCTTGTAACAGTACTTTGCACTTAGACGGTGCAAAGCACATACCATACTTACAGACACCAACAAAGTGTACAGTAAACGCAGTACTCAACTTACTCCCCATGATGTTTTATGCACAAGAAACTACTTCGTTTTTATTTTTATTTGATTGTAGTGATTATAACCGACGGTGGCACAGAGATAGAATGCTCGTCAACCATGCCTTATGTGGTTCGGGGTTCGACCCCCGGCCACAGACGCACTCCTTTACCTCGTTAAGCCAGTAATAAAACTGGTAAAGAGGGAAGGTTGGGCATGAGGCTAGCAACCCCATCCCGAAAACATAAATAAACACCACTGCTACCGAAACTTTAAGCTGGCTCTAGCTTGAAGCCGCCTATGTTCCACTGGGAACGTAAAGAAATTTACAAAAAGTGATTATAAAACGTTTTATATACCTGAGAATTTGTTTATATGTGTTGCGTGTTGATTCGATAAAAAAACAGAAGTGATTATAACTGGTCGATTTCTAACCTTCAGGATGATATGTCACAGTTCCACCAAATACCGTATACAACATTAAACCTTAATTTATCAGTGGTCATATTATAAAAGTGACTTACTCTCTGCAAAACACTAACAGTGTTAGAAAGGATAGCTAGCTGGATAGATAATTCAGGTTTAAGCAAAGGCAACAAAAAAAATCAACACGAAAACAACCACCAACTAGAGTTAAAAAAAGCTAAGCCATCCATCAGGTAAGATAAGACGATAAACATTGCTGATTACAATGAGTAAATTAAATTATAGGGTTGGGGAGGGGGGAGAGTGGTAACCAGCTTTCAAATGCCGAGAAAATACATTGCACTGATCAAGGCACTCACTGTACTCAAACTGATATAGCCAGGTGAGAGCTTACGGTGAGTTGTCATCTGAAGTGGTGACAAACAGTCGCGTCCGTCACGTATGCCCATTATCACTGTCCCCATTTGTGTTTAATTTCATCATAGATGTACTAACGGAATGAACCCTAACTCACTTCAGCGATTCAGGGATTTATTTGTTACCATCAGGGAATAGTAGTTTCGTTGACTTACAAAATGCAGGTGATGTAGTCCTTTCTCCTAGGTGAACACGCTGACAAAATAGCAGAGTCTTCTGAACGCCTTGATCAAGGCAATCTGAGAATGTTTGGCATGCGATTCACTCCCGCCAAATGTAAGATGATGTTACAGGACTGAACTGGACTACATTGTAACTCCTAGCTTAGAAATAGGGAGTGAAGTGGTAAAGCGCGTTGACCACTTCACTCACTTATTCAGGAAGTTGCATCAGACAGTGCCAACAGGTTGATCTCTGACGAAATCTCAGCACGGATACAGAAGGCTCGGTTCGCATATGCCAGTTTACGCCGTCTCTGGCGTGGACGTAATATCCGGCCTGTTGTCGATCAAAGAGTGCGTATGTGTACTGCTCAGCAGTCCACTCCGTCCTCCTTTATGGCTGTCAGTGAGATCTGGTCACTGAGAGTGGAAAACAGGAAAAGGCTGGCTAGCTGTCTTTGATCATAGTTGCCTGCGTTCATTCTCCCGTGTGAAGTGGTAGGTGTAATAGGGTGAGCAATATTGAGGTTAGACTTCGGTCGAGTGTTAGGTAAAGAGGGGAAATCAATCGACGAGGCTGTGAAATTACATCGATTGAGGGAGATGGTTAGGATATGTGTTACGCATCAATGCCTAGTCATCGCCTTCCCCGACGACGGGCAGTGTTAGCTGACATAAGGTGAGGTTGGAAAGGAGCTAGTGGTGGTCAAACGGAAACATGGCTTTATCAGTCAATGAAATCCACAACAGTTATTTTAAGCCAGCCAGCCAGGCACGTAGGAAGGTGTAAACGTCCTGACTGACTGGTTGGGGTCCTCGGGACGGTAAACACCAATGAAGGCTGGAGACAATTGGTGATATGGCTGAAAATGCTCGTTCTCAATGACTGGCGCAGATGCCTCCACTCCTTGTAACCTACAATTTCCAATGAAACTATATTGTTCTTCGTTATTGCTATTCCTTTTGTTTCATATCCCTGTCGACTGTCTCTATTTTCCATTTCTTCTCTTGCTTTGTGTGGTACATGGAATGTGGCAACTTGAACTGCTGCACATCGGTGCAAAGTTCTGGCTGGCTGGATTCAATATAGAACTTGGCACCGAAGTGCAGCAGTTCAAATTGCCACGTTCCAAAGAGCACACAAAGGTAGACAAGAAGATGAATATGAAGAGAATCAATAGAGTTTTGAAATGAAATAATACAGATGATCATTTTTTGCACATTTTCCAACCTGCACCTATATCAGCTAGTAATGCCCGTCGGGGGAGACGATGGTTAGGCATGCGCAGCATCTCAAAGTGCAAAGTTCTATGTTGAAACCAGTCAGTCAGTCAAATGTAAACTGAACCTTATATATATAAAAATACTACAGAAAACTTGCTTTAACCACTATTAGAGCTACTTAACTTTTCATCCAATATTACAATGCATCCTACACTTCTCTCTCATTTTTCTTGTGTTTGTTTCAATCTTTTAATAATATTAACAATAATAGTAATATCTTTGCATCGGGAATATGAACTCACGTTGTTGTTGTTGATGCTATTGTATATTTAAATAGCTTGAAACTTCTAAGAGAAGAAAATGAAGAAAAAACGTTGCGTGGTGCAAGAATGTCTTGTTTCAAGATAGAACAACAACGCTGAATCAAGATGATATATATACACACTGTCAGTCATATGAATATTGACTACAAGATTCGCATGCAAACCAAAAGGAGTTAAATTTTTTTTCTCAAGAAAAAGGCTGATTTGATTACGATTATTATTTTATTATTATATTATTATTGATAAAAATCCTTTCAAGAATTCGTTTGTAGGGATTTTATTTGTTCCAGGTTAGACTACGGATTGATATCAGGTTAGAGAACCACTAGAAACCAACAAGGAGTACTGAACAGCTAGCTGTTTCGTCCTAGGGATTGGGACTCATCGGCAGTACGCATCCAACCATTATCGAGGCTCGAACCCAAGACCTTCAGAGGTTGCAAGGCAAGCTCGGACCCAATTCAATGGCCAGTCTATGAGTTTTAACTTCTACTGATTCGTGATTTTAGCGCGACTGGCACGAGCCAATGTCATCGGCGGGAACTCCATCCTCACTCCCGACAGGATGGACCGCAGTGGTCACGACTTCTCCACTAGAACTCTCCAGGCAACATTTTTTTCTGTAGCCAGTCGCCAGAAAGCATCAGATAAATTGTCAAGAATTGGTTTCGAGGGATTCTAACACGAAATAATGGAGTGATAGATTTGACGTCAAAGAAAGCAAATAACTTTGTGTTGTTGGAAAGACACACACACACACACACAAAAGACACAAAAAGAAGACAAAGAAACACCATATGAAGTGGCAGAAGTAGCAAACACAACACAGAAGATCTGTGTTGGATGATGATTTGAAGATTTAGGTGAGGATGTAAGTATCTGCAGCAGAACTGGACTGAATTCACAAACTTCAATCTATCCGATAAACATATAAAGTTAACCAATCAATTTTTAAGTGTATTTTCTGTCTGTTTTCGACATAGAACTTTGCATCGATGTGGGGCAGTTCAAGTCGCCACACTCCCTTCATGTAGCACACAAAGCAAGAGAAGAAAGTAGAAGAAATGCATAATATAGACAGTAAACAGAGGTGTGAGACAAAGGAATAGTAATAACGAAGAACAATATGGTTTCATTGGAAATTGTAAGTCACAAGGAGTGGATGCATCTGCGCCATTCATTGAGAACGATTTTGAGCCATGTCACCAATTGTCTCCAGCCTTCATTGGTGTTTACCGTCCCGAGGACCCCAACCAGTCAGTCAGGACGTCTACACCTTCCTACGTGCCTGGCTGGCTGGCTTAAACTAACAGTTGTGGATTTCATTGACTGATAAAGCCATGTTTCCGTTTGACCACCACTAGCTCCTTTCCAACCTCACCTTATGTCAGCTAACATTGCCCGTCGTCGAGGAAGGCGATGACTAGGCATTGATGCGTAACACATATCCTAACCATCTCAGTCGATGTAATTTCACAGCCTCGTCGATTGATTTCCCCGCCTTACCTAACACTCGACCGAAGTCTAACCTCAATATTGCTCACCCTATTACACCTACCACTTCACACGGGAGAATGAACGCAGGCAACTATGATCAAAGACAGCTAGCCAGCCTTTTCATGTCTTCCACTCTCAGTGACCAGGTCTCACTGACAGCCATAAAGGAGGACAGAGTGGACTGCTGAGCAGTACACATACGAACCCTTTGATCGACAACAGGCCGCATATTACTCCACGCCAGAGACTGCGTAAACTGGCATATGTGAACCGAGCCTTCTGTATCCGTGCTGAGATTTCGTCAGAGATCAACCTGTTGGCACTGGCTGATGCAACTTCCTGAATAAGTGAGTGAAGTGGTCAATGGGCTTTACCACTTCACTTCCTATTTCTAGGCTAGGAGTCAATGTAGTCCAGTTCAGTCCTGTAACATCATCTTACATTTGGCGGGAGTGAATCGCATGCCAAACATTCTCAGGTTGCAGCTCAAGGTGTTCAGAGGACTCTGCATTTTGTCAGCCTCCTCACCTAGAAGGACAATATCGTCTACATATTCTGAGTCAAAGAGATTATTCCCTGGTAACAAGTCAATCCCTGAGTCTCTGAAGTGAGTTAGGGTTAAGTCCACCACTAGTCATCACCACTTCAGATGACAACTCACAGTAAGCTCTCACCTGGCTGCAATGTATTTTCTCGGCGTTCCATTTAAAGCCAAGCATCGCCAGAGTACCTCTCGGTCAACAGAATCGAATGCCGCCTTTAGATCAAGAAATGTAATGATTGTCGGACGCCCCGGTAAGAATGCCTATGTTCTAGAATCTGTCGAAGGGTGAAGATATGATCAATACACCCTCTTCCTGGTCTAAAGCCTGCCTGGTTCTCTCGTGTTTGTGCCTCCCGAGCACCACTTAGTCTACGCAATATTATTGAGCCTAGGACTTTAGATGCTATATTAGTCAAGCTAATCCCTCTGTGATTATCACAGGAAGACTTGTCTCCCTTCTTGTATATCGGGATGATCAGTGACTTACACCAACCCGACGGGACTTCCTCTGATTCCCAGATGCTGCCTAGAACCTCAGTTAGTGCAGACAGTAAACTGTCTCCACCGTACTTAAATACCTCTGGAGTCATTCCATCAGGTCCTGCTGCTTTGCCTCGTTTCAGACTAATGACAGCTTTTGTAACCTCAGTTGGGGACGCTGGACCTGTGTCTATATCCCATTCAGGGAAGTGTTGGATGTTCGGCAGGTTGAGCGTGGCTGTAGACCAATTAAACTGCTCCTCATAGTGTTCTTCCACACGTTCTAGTTGTCTATCCTGGAAGCTGATTATGGTGCCATTTTTCTCAGAGATTGTTTCACTTCTCGTTTGCCTTTTACCACCTGTTTCCCTGATAAGCCTAAATAGTTGTCTGGTGTTACCAATCACCGATGCCTTTTCCATCTCTTTCGCTTTTGTCGCCCACCACTGTTCACGGTCGTTGCGAAGACTTCTTGTTAGTTTTCGTTTGAGTAGCTTTCACTCCTCATCATAATCGGAGCTCACCGGAATCAGTCTTTTTACAGTGTATTTTACATTTTTTTAAAACATTTTAACAAGAAACAAAAGAAATGCAAAGAAAAAGGCTGCTTATTCATACCTGATGTATAACTACAGTATCATCTCCACAGACTTCAAGGACTGTCGGTGCTTGATCCACTGTAAACTCCCAATCCATACGATAGCGTACATCCCAAAAGTATGTGCAGATCTCTTTGGCAGTAACACCATGAACAACATCAATAGCCTAGAATAAAGTGTACACACAAGAAAAAAAATAATAAACATTTTGAACAATTAATAATGGTTGAGTTCAAATCAGTCTAATCATAATCACCTTATCATTAGGATGATGTTAAAATTCTACTGATAGATCAGATAGACACATAAGGTTGAAAAGGAATTAATAAAGTCACACTGTGTACATGGCATTGAGGAAATAATCAATAGAAAGGATTAACTTCTGAAAGTCTAGAGAAAACTTAACCCGATATATTTTGCAAAAACCTTAAAAAGCATTTAATAGTAATAGTAATGCTTTTTTTTTCTCTCACAAGCCAATATATCTATCTAAGCTCTTCAAACATGCGTAAAATGATATCACATCCCACTGTATTTACCAATTTGAATGTACGTGTAGACACACATACCTAGGGAGGACTCATCGATCTCTACAAGTAAGGGCTAGCTTCAGAGCGAATTCCTAAGTGGCTCCAGAAACAAATAGAATCTTCAGAACCCATTAATGGTGAGAACAGGAAACCTAGCTCCTCTATTGAGAAGCATATTACAGAGGAGATAGGACATAAAATTGACGTTAACATATGTTTTAAATCTACATATAAAACGTGTTTGGGCCGTATCCCAAAAGTTTGTGGAACCCCTAGAAATTAGAAAGTTTAAACCACCTTTATGCGTTCAAAAACTATTCGTCATCACATTAAACCTTCCTTGGTAAATTTTGTTTTGATACCAGTCAGGGAAGATGTACTATTACCTCTGCTATTTGGTTTAGTGGTGTTCATTGTTATTTCGACCGTCAATGTAGTCCTTTTAACCTGACCTAAGTCTATTTTCTCACCTCTTAACTCTTCATTAATTTCATATATATTCCTATGACAACTCCGTGTGTTTGATCAGATAGTTCGAAATGTGTTGTGCACGCAAATGCATTACACGATTCAGACAAATTACGTCTTTTTATTGCTTTATCTAAATTCATAAAGGGAACTAATTGTTTTAAATCTTTCTCGGTAATATTTGTGATCTACTAAGAAGAAACAGATATCCGACTGAACGTTTGGACAAACACATGAACTCAATAAGTAAAAAACTGAAGGTGCCCACTGCCCTCAAAAAATCAGTCTTCTATAAGATTGCAATTCACGAGTGGTATTAATAGTGAGATGTTATCACAACGTTTGAGAAGGGTGTTCAAAAGGATTTTAAATTAACTCCGCTACGTTATTCTGTATATTCATGACCCAATCAATACTTTGTTCAAGAAATACAGACAAACTACCCTATACACAGCTCAATACTCGCTTATCTCATCGATACTGACTGGACATCAAGTTGACTATATCAAAGCTTTTAAAGTTATTTATTGTATTTCACTAAACCTCTCGCATTATCTACGAGTACAACTTTTACATACTGTAGAGGCAATCGGAATTCATCTGAACAAGTTAAATCTGTGTGTTCAAAAGAAGTTTGTACCACCCCTTTCTTTGTCATGGCCAACTACATAATATGTACTCAGTTTTCAAGACGATTTCCTTCTGACTTTGTTACTTTTTTTACAATTCTAACTAATTCTATTAACTTGTTTGTATTTTACTTAATTTTTCTGAGTCATCCTATTCTTCTTAGTCATCATTGCTGTTTTACAAATTTCTTGATTGTGTAATATTTGTTGCTAATGCCTAAGAATCAGCTCATCTTGAATTCCATTATTAATTTTCACCTATCCTATAGAACTTGGATACCTTGTTACTAATATCTATTAGTTAATTGTTTTGATGACTTTTAACCTCCTAATTTTCCACCTACCCCTATATCTAAAAATGCCAAAAAATACAAAGCGTCAAAAACCTCAATAATAAAGCATCTTGTGGACTATGGACATGATATCAACGCTGTCAAGTCATTCACTGTTATTGTCAGCAGACAAAGAAACAGGAAGGAGGCTTGTGCGATTCAAGTTTATAAACCAGGTCTTCATGTACAAAAGGAGATGGTCATCACTCTGAATCTACCATGGTAATACGTTTTACTTATTATTACTATTATTATTCTTGATATATTTAAAACTGTCCTTTATCAGTAGCGTTATCTTAACTCATTTCAACATTATTATTATTATTATTATTATAACTATTACTATTGATATTACTCTGTTTGCAATTTTTGAAATATTCTCTAATGACTAATTGTTTATCTAAGTGATGTAATTGAAGCGTAATGCATTTTATCGTAATTTTAATCTCTCATACCTCCTCTGCCCCTATCTATTTCAACATGATCTGGAAAACATTCACACCTATCTTTCTGCATGACACACTCAATGGAGTTTATTTGCTTATCAGTCTTATATCTCCCAGCGTAATTTCAAAAGTATATATATATATATACTTTTGAAATACATATATACATACTTTTGGAATATATGTATATGGATTGGACATACTCTGAGGAAACCATCAAGTGACATCACTAGACAAGCCATCACTCGAGTGGAACCAGAAAGGGAAGCGGCGAGTTGGTCGTCAGTGCAAGGGTGACTTGGAGGAGGTCATGTGAAGAGGAGATGAAAGCATGTGGGCAGACTTGGAGCCAGGTGAAGACTCTAACAGAGAACCGAATGCAATGGAGACGCACGGCTGAAGCCCTATGTCCCTCTAGGAATTAAAGGAAACAATAATAATATATATCCATGTATGTGGAGTATTCAGCTGAAGAGGAGTTCTACCGAAATCTGATGAATTCATTAAATCATCCTGCTTTATTAACCCTTGTTGCATGCTTTAAATTCGTACAGGCAAATAAATGTTTTCAATATCTAAAACTGAAAAACTAAAATAACCATTTGAACGGTAAAAGAAAATTTTGATGTAAAAGCTATACATTAATGTACAGCCAAACAGCCAAAGATGATGAGGAACTAACTGGAGTGAAGGAATGCATTTTTTCTTCGTTCAATTCGTTGTTCGCTTAGTAGTTATTAAGACGTCCAAAAAACTAGCGGTTAAGCAAACAGAAAAAAAAATGGAACTTATGACCAACTGACAAACTCAAACAAACAATCACAAATGTCGTACATAATCCGGAAATGGGTATACACACAATACACACAATAATAATTAAAATAAAATTTACCTGTAAAGGATCCAGTACAACACCGTCATCTGTTTCAAGTTCTCGTCTGAAAATAATCATATCACCATCTTGCACGACAAGTCTCCAGTTTTCAGGAGTTTCATTGAAATTTTGTTCACTAACAGACAGATTGGCAGTATCCTTGGAATCAACAGTATTTGATGGTATACTGTTACCACCATTGCAGTGTATTGAAGACGATGATGAGCATAAATTCAATGTATAATCGAATATTTGTGTAGTAGCAAAATTTTTCACATGCATTTTTACAATTTTATCCAATTCATTATATAATGGATGATTTGATGGCATAGCTCTAGCCCAACGGATTGCTTCACTGGCTGATTTCAGTGCAGCTAGACGTACTTCATTTTCTGTATACAATGTGTATATATACACAAAAAGTGAGATATGCGATGAAAATACAACGAAGACTAAGGTATACTCAAACTCATATACATATATTCCTTGACGTTCCCAGTGGAACATAGGGCTTCAAGCTAGTGGTTTGAAGTTTCTGTAGCAGTGTTTATTTTTACGGGATAAGGTTGCTAGCCTCATGCCCAACCTTTCCTCTTTACCAGCTTTTATTTCTGGTTTAGCGAGGTAAAGGAGTGCGTTAGTGGCCGGGGTCGAACCCCGGGCCATGTGCATGGTCAGCGAGCGTCCTAACAGCTGTGCCACCGACGCACTAAAAGCCGCCACCAGATTAAAAGTCTGATGCTCTACCGACTGAGCTAACCGGGCCAGTTTAGTATGCATATGCATCCCAACTACTTCGATCAGGATAAAAACATAATCAGTATGATAAAAGTGAGTATGACTGCATTATGGATAAAATTTTATTTTGATAAAATCACACAGTGTTATACAGTAAGTTATATCTACAGATGACCACGTTTCGAGCACAGTTTATTACTGTGCATAATCATCATATCACGGTACTCACTCACACAACTTTCTTCCTTCATTTATATTCTTGAATACAAATTGATGATTAGACATTTGAATGAAATCATTATAAGATAAAGTACACATTCAGAAATGGCATTAGTATTAGTGTTAACAATAAAATACAATAAGATGGGAAATAACTTGTTATAATGTGAATTGAATACATACATTTGAACATTATTTATTATCCTCCTCTGATTTGACTGACTGGTGGTAATAATATCTTCCATATCTCTGGTATTTGCGTTGAGTCACTTCCGTTGCATGTGTTGGGTGTAGACTCGATGAACCAGGCAGGATTCAGTAATCAACCTCTCTATCTCCATCTACCTAAATTACTTTTTAGAATTTTGACTCTGTCCCACACACCCTATTGTCTGGTTGTGTGTTAATGCATGCAGTGCTACAGTTGAGTTTTTCCTGAACTACTTATCTTCGTGGGTGGGATCAATTATTCTAATCTTACCTAAATTCTTCTGTTCTGACAATTTAACTGCCGCCGATCTACTAGTTTGACCTATCTGGTTGACCACACTTACAGTCACTGCAAGGTATTTTGTAAATTATATTGTTTTGTCTAATTGGGTCAACCTACAGATATTGTTGTACGTGAATGAGTTTGTAGGTTTGAATGCCCCCCCCCCTAATTCCTGCCTTATTGAGAATCTAGTCTACACCCAACACATGCAACAGAAATGACTCAACGCAAATTCTGCCATACCATCATATTTTAGCCCGGGTTTTGTGTGAAGCGAGAGAGAGAGAGAGAGTCAGATTCCAGAAAAGAACTTTTTAAGAAGTCAGTAACTGAACTGCAAAGTATAAGCAAAGATTATTATTATTATTACATGTATTGTCCATAATATTGTCTACTTATACTTCATTGTTTCCACCAATATTCTGCTTATAGTGGTTGCATTATGACTATTATTATTGTTACTATTTTAAATTTTATATACGTGCATATTTACTTAAAAGGAGCTAAACTGTTGAAATATGTATAAAAACGCTGAAAATTTCATTCTGTATTATTATTATTATTTTTAAACATCGTAAATTGAATATACGGTGATTATACCAGTTTGAATGAAATTTTGATAATTTAATCCGATTTTTAATAAGATTATAGGTTTCCAGGCCGTAGGTGTTACGAACTTCCTGAAATAATTTGAGCGCCGAGTCAGATTGAATCTGCTGAAGAAGCTGTGGTTTACACAGCGAAACGTTCAGAAAAATCTTGTTTTGATTTTCTTAACACGCTGGGATTAATTTAAATAATTTATAATGTATTATTATTATTGTTTGGAATAAAGTGATCAATTGTTATTTTTTAAATCATGGAAAATTCCCATTGTAACATATAGAAAATCAAAACAAATGACTCAGTGAAGAGACTTTTCAACGAATTTATCACCAAGCTGTACAATCGTGTATATATGGTTTTTAAGAAGCTATATCCGGTGAGGGAGCTAGGTATATCGGCCGTTCGATTCGAGTTTTGTCCAAGAGGGTGCAAGAACACTATCCTGCATGGTTACGAAAAGGTGGAAGTGGAGCAATAAGAAGCGCGATCATTGAACATCTGGTCAATAATGATCACCCTATCTCTATAGCCTCCACCTTTAAAGTCATATTCAAGGCAAAGAGTAATTTACCCAAATCCCTACGTACCCGACTCATCTGTATTGCTGAAGCCATATTTGCCTATCGAAACAGAAAAGCCAGATCTCTATATATACAGAAAAAGTTCGTTCAACCCCTCCAACTTGCATGGTCTTAATCCCTCTATGCTAAAGTATGGTAATCCCCAATCTTATTTTAGCTCTACCAATTTTTCATTTCTTCATTTTGTCTCTTTCAATTTGTATACTGTTCCTTTATTACGTCAATTTTTACTATTACTACTCTCACTTTTAACTGTCCCCGGTATTATTTCACTTGTTCCACTTGTCATTCTAAATCAATTCTCCTTTTTACAACGTTAAATTCCATGCTATTAAATTTCACACTATGTTACGTAACGTTTTTATTTTATTCGATTTCTCTACTAATCCTATAATTGCACATTTTTTTTCAAGTTCTATCCATCCTATGAATTATTCTATATATATATTTTTTACGAGTTGATCACGGACTGATATCAGTCCCTTACAAACCAAACTTTAGAAAATATTCTATATATGACATTAATTTGATTTGCTACTTGACATTTAACTACGATTATAATCACAAGCATTTTAGTTTTAATTGCATTTCATATTATTATTATTTTTTACGAGTTGATCACGGACTGATATCAGTTAGAGAACCATTGAAAACCAGGGAGTACTGGACAGCTGCTGTTTCATCCTAGTTTGGGAATCATCGACAGTACGCACCCACTGGGATTCGAACCCAGGACCTTCCGGTTACAAGGCACGCTAGTTCGTATACCATTCAGCCACTGGGACCCGATTCAATGGCTCATGAATTCTCACTTCTACCAATTCGTGATTTTAGCGCGACCCCAACCACGTGTGTGGATGGATGTCCCACCAACGACAAAGGTTGGCGTCGCGCTAAAATCACGAATTGGTAGAAGTTAGAATTCATGAGCCATTGAATCGGGTCTCAGTGGCGGAATGGTATACGAGCTAGCGTGCCTTGTAACGGGAAGGTCCTGGGTTCGAACTCTGGTGGCGGATGCCTACTGCTCAAGAATCACAAACTAGGATGAAACAGCTGTCCAGTACTCCCTGTGGCTGGTTTTCAATGGTGTTCTAACTGATATCAGTTCGTGATCAACTCGTAAAACATAACTAATCCTTACAAACCAAAAACTATAGAAAATTATTATTATTATTATTTTATGCATTCACACCTATGATTTAATTCCCTCACCGGTATAACTTCTTAAAAAAGCATATATATACAATTGTACAGCTTGATGATAAATTCGTTGAAAAGAGTCTCTTCGCTGAATCATTTGTTTTGATTTTCTAATTGTTATTTATCATTGTTATTTTCTGTCCAAAGGATGAAGAATACGCGGGATGAGGGTTTACTGCCATAAAGACGTCTCTCACGACAGAAAGCAACAAATAACAAAGAGAAGTTTAAAATACTGGGCTGCTGAACCTCATAGAGCATAAAAGCTAATTTATAGTTATAGATGATTGAACTGTACAATAGGCAACTTTACAAATGACGTGAATAACTATGTTCGAATTCGGCTCACACATACGTAATAGAAGAATGAACATTTTCGCTGATAGCGAAGTCAACAAAATAAATAATGAAGAAATGGGCATCAAACCCCTGAACCTAGATTTTATGTTTGTTGGTATTCACCAGTAAGCAAGGTGTATCAGCAATTTTGGAGGAACTCATTCCCCTTTTGGAGATCCGAACCTGTGTCACCAAGTGCTGCAGTCAGCGACATCATCACAGAGCTATTCGGGCTCACGACTAACTTCCTGTAGGACTGTAATGGATACTTTGAACGGACACTAGGTGGTAATGTCATACTGACTGATAAAGGAGAACAGTGATCAGGAGGACTCTTCATGTGCTTGTAGAGGTGTGTGGGCGGTTGTTAATTCCCAACTCCCACACTGTGGATGTTGATTTTTTCTTGGGACACGTGAAATAGAAAGAGAATCAGTATTGCATAACCACAGAGCCCATGGGACAACTGCTTGAGGCCGGTCACGCACAATCTGTCTGAACTGGCTTTTTGGTTTGGTTTCGTATTACCACCGGTTACGACCACCATAGGGTAGGTCGGGGTGTACAGTTTTCGGACTCGACCTTTTCTAACCCTCTCTTTCCAGAGTGAAGAGACAGCAAAGCTGACATGTTTGTCATCTAAGAGAAACACTTTACTGATGTTACAAAAATCTTACACTATGCCGGTAGCTGCATTTAGCCTCATCGCTATCCTAACAATCTTCCTGGCAAAGCAGGATCTGCAGGAACAGTAGTTCCAACCAGTGTAACTTGTCGGGGCATCGAGATATGGAAACCCGACGACCACGTCAAGGAAGCAGGTGTCCGTCGGAGGCATGTCATGCGTCTACTCCTTCATAATGGCAAACCACCTAAAATGGTGGCCACACTAGAAACTTGACTGATAGAATTCAGAGTCAGCACGAAACGAAGGATTAGACACACGCGACATCAGTTACCACCTGGTGTCCAGTGAAAGTACTTGTGTATATAAATATCATATGTAAGCGTAAGTCTGCTCTATCATGAAATAAAATGAGCATATGAGAAGTTATCGACAAGTTGGCCAGTGGCATTAACTCACCTTCTATTTTATCTGATTCTGCATCAATAGCATCAAAGAATTCCTCTTCACGTATCGGAGAATTAATACCCTCTTCATAATCTGGACCAACTAGTCTCAGGACATTTTCACTAGCTACAACAGCTGATGATGAAATAGTTGTATTAACAGTGGGAGTCACAGAAGTACTATTAACATTGGTTGTTGTCGACTTAACACCATGTTCCCTAAGAATAACATCCGGTGAAGAATGTTGAAAATCTATACTACCATAGCTGGAAAATCTTGAATGTGATGAATTATTTGTCAGATGATAATGTTGATGATGATGGGGATGCTGTTGATTTTGCCACTGGTGTTGATGATTAGTGTTTAAACCAATCAAACTGCGTAAATGTAACAATTCTTGTCCCATTGCCTTTTGTGTCTCTTCTGATCGACGTCGTTTTTCAATTTCACGTTCTAAACGTTTACGCCAATGTTCTTCGTGCTGTTGCATCATTTCAACTGAGTTTGATAAATTTGTAAGTATTCCAGCTGTAATCGCCTAAATAGAGAGAAATACCATTGAAAAGAGAGAGAGAAATATAAAATTTCAAGGGGGTCTTGATGAACTGAAATATTCGCGAGAAACAATATGTACGTGGAGAGTTATAAGAATCCAATGGATCTCGAAGTTCATAAAAGGTGAATGCATCTGCCTGGTTAAGAATGATTTCACACTATATCATCAACAGTTTGAAGACACTGGTTCTTACTGTCTTAAAAACTGAGCAGTCTATGCCTTTCTGCGCAGCACAAACCAACCGTTGAAGACAAGACTTCATGGACTAATGCCAAGTTACGGTTTAACCACCCCTAACTCTTTTTCAACCTACTCCAACGTCAATTAACATTGCTCGCCGAAGAAGACAATGGTCTAGGAAGTGTAACACATATCCTAACCAAATCGACAGATGCAGTTTCACAACCTCATCGATTGAATTCAATTCGTTACCTAGCACTCAGTGTCTAACATCAATATTACTCACCATAGTATACTACATAACATTAGAGATAGAACAAAAACACTTATCGTCAAGGACAGCTGACCTCTTCACATCTCCTACTATAATACCTATCTTTAGACTAGGAGTCGGTGCAGCCCAGTCCTACAGCATAATAGTAAATTTGACAAGGACGAATCGCATGTTAAGCATTCCAGGATTTCTATTCAAGCTGTCAGAAGACTGTATTTTTTCAGCGTCTTCATCTAGAGTGACTAGATGATTTGCACACTCTAAATGGACGAGAGTGTTACCTGATAATCAGTTAAACCCTGAGTCGATAAAATAACTTACAGTCAAATCCATGCGTACATCTATGATAACATTAAACAAAAATAAGAGATACTGGACATCATCTATGACGGACACAACTGGTTGTCACCCCTTCAGAAGTGTTTTATGAATCTTCTACGACTAATAATCATTAAAGTAGAGAAAGTGGGCAGGGCTATATTGAGTGAATTTTTCTTTCCATTTTTGTACTGCACGTGATACATACGGTGACAAGTCCTGAAGTTATGCAACGGAGACCGATTGCTAGAATTACACCCAACCTTCCTTCTTTTCTCGATTTATTACTGACTACACGACGTCAAAGAATGCATCAATCCTGTTTTCTGTCTTCCTCTATCTCTCTCTATCTGTTTTGACAGATGTGGTTTTGGAGATGTGGTTCTTCAGTGTAAATACTTGACCTTCAACCAAGGGGTCTCGGGCTCCCATTCCGCTCTATGGATATGGGTAAATGGATGTTGTCACCAGCCATCATACAATAAGTGTGTGGCCGGCTAATAGCTTGAAACATGAAATACCTAATCCGCGAACTAACTGGGCCTAGACAAAACATGCTATTTGCTTATCTCTAATAGGATTTACCGAATGAAGTAGAAGTAAGGACTGCAAATGACTAACATATGCTGCTACGTCTCAAGTGGAACTCATTCTGATTGAGACTCACGAAACCACACATACACTGACATGAAATTTGATTTGTAACCGATTGAAGAAGAGTAGAATAACTATATCTATGCATCACCATCTCACCTAGTTAACTAGCTAGCTAGTTTTCTAGCCGGTCGCAAGTCCGGGTGAAGAGGGGGGGTTAAGCGTGGGGCTAGCGACCCCACACACCACTAACTAACCCTATCAAACCACTAGAGAAACTTCAACACACACAAAAATTTATGGAAAATACAAAAACTTCAAATAAAAATCTTATTCTTCGATGGAATCGGAGAGGTGAAATGACACAGCGGGCTGATGAAAGCCAGTCTTCGGGAAGCCAGTCAACCAACCGATGTCTTCTTTCGATGAAAACAAGAATAAGAATGAGGACGTGGAATCTCCGTACAATGTACGAGGCTGGCTGGGAAGACTGCCCAGATAGCCAAAGAGAGGCGAAGATATGGCTTAGAAGTACTGGGTATCTGTGAAACCAGATGGAATGGATGTGGATTGACAACACTGTCAACTGGATAGTCAATAATCTACTCCTGTCAACCAGACAACAACCACGAACACACTGAGGCAGTGAGTGGGTATTTTGATGTCACCAGTGGCAGTCAAAGCCCTAATGATGTGGGAACCTCATGCAGGATTATGACAGCAAGACTCAACTGAAAAAGAAGGAAAGAAGGTCACACTCATCCAATACTACGCACAGTGCTATGAAAACGCGGAACAAAAGAAGAAGGAAGACTCCTACAGACAACTACAAACAGCAATGGACAAAATCCCAAATGGTAACATCAAAATCCTCATGGGCGAGATGAATGCCAGTCGAATCAGGAGCAGATAATACAGGAAGAGAACTCATCATGAGTCAAGAGGCTCTCACCTGGGGAAATGAATGAAAACGGAGAATTATTTGCAGACTTCTGCTCTTTCAACGATTTGGTGATTGGAGGGAGCGTAAACAAACACGAGGATATACACAAAGCAACATGGATTTCGCATGACGGACACACAACAAACCAGATAAACTTCATCTGAATGCTGCTCAGGGAAGTGAAGACGCAGTCAGTCTGCTGGACACAAAGTCGAGAAGGCGAGCAGATATGGGCTCAGAACATCATCTAGTTCAAGGAACCTTCAAGGTGAAGCTGAAATGCATGAAAACAAATGGAGACAGACCACTGCAATTCAAGTTCAACATTCAGAAACTGAAGAATAAAACTACAACGAATGCCTTCACTACAGATCAGATCAGAGCAAAGTCGAACACACTACGTGGCACCAATGAGGAAACCTGTGTGGAACAACAATGGAATTCACTCTGTGAAGGTGATGTTCAAGAAAACGTGTACAACTGTTCCAGGAAGAAGGAAGAGAAACGACAAAGAATGATTTTCAACGGACACCTACCTGGAAGATAATCGAGGAGAGGAGGATGGTGAAAGAGAAAATGACTCAATGCAAGGATGGGCAACAGAAGGAGAAGTTGAGTTCAATGTACGCCAAACTGCACTGAATAAAGAAGTGAAGAAAAGTGCTAGAAAAAACAAAAGACAATTCTATGACACAATGGTTGGCGGCAACTGAAGCAGAGCAGGCAGACCGCAGGCCACAGGCAAAAGAGACATCAGGACACTATATCAGATAAACAGGCTGCTCGCTATCCGGGAAGAGATCAACCCAGATGATGAAACCAATAAACGATGTTCAAGAGAACCTGATCACCAAGGAGGAGAAACAAATCAAACAATGGGCTGATCACTTTAGAGGACTCTTGAATCGACCATCACCGGCAACTCGCCCAGAAATACACCACCATCAACAGCACGCACACGACTGCCTGCCAGTGGACACCACTCCTCCAAGGAAAGAAGAAATCCTGAATGAGAGAGTTTGGTTAATCGTGGACCAAGCTGAAGAGGACGGCAGAAAAAAGAACAAAGTGGAGATGTGTTGTTGAAGCCCTATGTTCCACTCGGAACGCAACGGAATAATAATAATAATGCATCATTTCGCACCAAATAACTGACATCTGATTATTTGATGTCTTTCTTCTCATATTTATAATTACGTTGTTCCGTTTCTGTAGTACAGTTTTGTTTTTCAGAGGGAGAGATTTTTACACTCACCGCAGTTCCCTTTATTTTAGTACAACAATATACAGATAAACCAATGTACAGCTTTGTATCATGATTCACTTTCACTACAAATTCAATCACTATCGGGTGTGAGGACAAATACTCGCAGCTGATTAACATTGGCTAATGGTCGCGGTGCTGTATCACGAATTGGCAGGCAGAAGTTGGAATCCATGCGCTGGCTGGCCATTGGTTCGGGTCCCAGTGGCTCAGTGGTCTACGAGCTCGCCTTGTCCTGGGTTCGGGACCCTGGCGGGGGGTGCGCGTACTGATGATGAAGAGCCCCAGGCACTAGGAAGAAACAGCTGGCTGGCTGTCCAGTACCTCCTGTTGGCTCTCTAATGGTTCTCTAGTCGATGTCAGCTGATGATGAAATACTGTAATCAATCAAATCAAACGCCTGAAAACGAACAATTGAATTAAAATAATGAATAATATTATTTAAAACAGCGTTAACTCCTAAAACGATCTTGGATAATAATGATAATAATAATGATAAAACACAAATTTTGTTTCATTTTAATTACGAATAACAATCATTAGGTCAGCTTACTTTGAACATGTGTGCTTCACCTTTAAAATCTAAAGCATAGGCACCGTGTTGTTCCAGGATACGACGTAAGTCATTGAAACGTGAAGATGGTTGATATTGAGGTACTTCTTTGCTATTGTTATTATCATTATTTTTATTATTATTGTCTTCAGAAGCGACAGTGGATTCAACTTTCTGTTTGTTTGTTTTTTAAATAAAAATAAAAAAACCAGACAAGGAAATGTGAGTATAACTTCTTTTGACTTCAACAATTTACCATTTCACTAAGGCTCTTAAAATATTTAGAATCAATGACAAGGATGGAACATAGGGCTTCAAGCTAGAGGCTTGAAGTTTCTGTAGCAGTGTTTATTTTTACAGGATGGGGTTGCTAGCCTCATGCCCAAACTTTCCTCTTTACAACCTTTTATTACTGGCTTAGTGAGGTAAAGGAGTGCGTCGACTGGGGATCGAAACCCGGACCATGTGCGTGGTTGGCGAGCGTCCTAACCGCTGACAAGGATGAAACACACTGAAATCCATCAAACTGACACTGTTATTTTTCTTTATGGAAATGAAGTATTTACCCAAATTGGTTAAATTTATTTTCTTTTGAGATATCCTTTGTACACACACTGACGTAATCCTGAATTCCTGTTAGACAGGTAGGTTGGTAGTATCTTTGATGGAATTTTACGAAAAGTGTACTCATCCAGGATGGTCATAAATGTAAACACTATATGCCACACTTGGTATCAACTGTCAAAGGTTATGCTGGCAATAACCTGAATACTTTATCTGTTTGAGAAGCTATACTTACCCCCCCCCCAATGGATATGTATATTCCTCAACAGTTCACTTTATCCAATGTTTAAAGTGTTGAAACATGGTTGCTGAAAACTAGACGTGAAAAAGGTACAAGTTTTTATTCAACTTGAGAGCAACTGTTACACAAGTATGAGATTATATTGAATTGAAGCTGGTTAGACCCCAACATAGTGTGAGTAGCAGTGGAATCCACTAGAATGAGCATTTCACTCTATTTGGGACTTGTCATCTGGATGTACTCACACACTAACCTAGTGAGCTATTACGTTCCTTAAGGGGCTCGAACCAGACATGTCAACAGAGGCAGGGTTGGTAAGAAAGTTGGAAAGCCTCGCTATCGATGTCTGCTGCATTTCGGAGACTCGCATTCAAGATCCCAGTGAAGTGCATCGATTATCCTCTCCATCTGGAAGTTCTAGTAGTATGTACCACCTGCGCTTGTCCGGGGACCCTGTGTCGTCGGCATCCGGCTTAGCTGGTGTCGGCGTCGCACTGAGCGCTAGAGCCGAAGCTGCACTGCTCGACTGGATTCCCATTAACAGTCGTTTATGTGCTGTGAGGCTGGAAGGTTATACGAAAGTAAGGAGTAGTAGCCAGATAGGCGGTGTCTATTTGTTGTCTCTGCCTATGCACCAACGGATTGCAGCCCGGATGCAATGAAGGACGAGTTCTACCACCAACTTAACGATCTCTTGAGACAGGCGGGTCGGAGGGATATCGTAGTGCTGGCTGGGGACTTGAATGCACAGGTCGGGCGTCTGAACCCAGAGGAGAATCGTCTAGGTGGTCAATGGGGACTACATGGTCGCAGGTCAGATAATGGGGACCGTCTTCTGCAGCTTTGCGCGGATCACAACCTATTTCTAGCCAGCACCAACTTCCGGCACAACCATCACCGTAGCGCTACCTGGCGTCCTCCCTCTGCGAACCAAGCTTGGACTCAGATCGATCACATTGCTGTCAGTTTCCGGTGGCGAGTATGCATGCAAGACTGTCGCTCCTTCTGGAGCACATGTCTGGACTCCGATCATGCGTTAGTGTGTGCCAAGTTCGTCTTGCGATTCGGTGGGGTTCATAAAAGGCGTCGTCTAAACGTTGGTGCGAGCAAACTAGTAGCACCTGCTACTTCTTGGAAATATCAGAATGAGTTACAATCAATGCTCGCCAGAAACCCCCCAAGTAGTATAGATGAACATTGGCTCCATCTGCAAGGTGCCATGCAAATAGCGAGTGTAGCCGCTTGCGGCTTCAAAGAATGCTCCGCCAAAAACCACTGGGTTTCTGCGAGTTCCTTGCAACTCCTGGATGAACGCCGGTCTATTCCGGCTGGCAGCGAATACGGCAGTAAGCGAAAGGCGCTGACGCGCAAGATAAGAAAGTGTTTACGTAAGGACCGCGAGGCCTGGTGGTCAGAACGTGCGGGTGAGATGGAGTCAGCTGCTGCATCTGGCAACAGTCGGCAGCTGTTCCAACTCACCCGAGCCACCGGCAGCAAGAAACAAGGTGTCAGCGAGACGGTCTGTGAGGCAGATGGCACGCCAATTACCAGCTTGAAAAGACGCCTGCAACGCTGGGCAGAGCACTTCGGGAAACAGTTTGGCTGGCCACCAGCTTCAATGTCTGCTGCCATTAGACCCAGTGCTCCTTGGTAGGTTAATACCGACCCAACCACCGAAGCGGAGGTCCGTAAGGAACTCCAAGTGTTAAAACGCCACAAGGCGCCCGGCCCAGACAATTTACCCCCGGCTCTTTTTAAAGATGGTGGCGAGACTCTCACAATAGCTCTAACTGGGTTGTTCAGGAAGGTATGGGAAACTGAGAGTGTACCATCAATGTGGAACGAAGCCATCATCGTCCCTATCTTTAAAAAGGGTCGACGTAATTCATGTGACAATCATAGGGGTATCAGTCTGCTACCAGTCGCGTCTAAATCATTGGCTTCTGTCTTGCTTCGCAGGCTGTGCAAAATACGTGAAGGATTGATTCGCGAAGAGCAGCCTTGGTTGCGTTCAGGTCGTGGATGCACTGATCATGTGCTCACACTTCGTCAGTTGTTGGAACACCGCCACACGTATTGCAGGCCAACGATCGTTGTGTTTCTTGATATTAGGGCTGCCTTCGATTCGTTGGACAGAGAACTGTCTGTTAGAGAGAGGTGTACCTGAGAAATTTGTTAACATCTTGAAAGCCCTATACAGAAACACCTCAGGTAGAGTGAGGGCATACAACCAACTATCATCACTGTTCCCAACCAACAGTGGGGTTAGACACGGTTGCCCAATCTCTCCATTTCTCTTCAACTTTGCCATCGATGACATTCTGGAGTCAGCTCTGAAGGATGTGCATCAAGGTGGTGTAGATCTGCTACCTGGAGATAGACTTTTCGACCTCGAGTATGCAGACGATATCGTCTTACTTTGCGATAGCATGCAGGCTGCTCAAGTCGCACTTAATCAGTTGGCGATCAGTGTCTGTAAGTATGGTATGTGCTTTGCGCCGTCTAAGTGCAAAGTACTGTTACAAGATTGGCAGGAGCCTGTACCTGCACTCACTCTTGCGGGTGAACCGTTTGAAGTTGTTGATAAGTTTGTGTACCTGGGTAGTTGTGTGAGTGCTGGTGGAGGGGTGACGGATGAGATTTCCAACCGTATAATGAAAGCTAGGGTGGCATACATCAACTTGAGCCACCTCTGCCACCGTCGCGATGTTAGCCTGGCTGTCAAAGGTCGAGTATACAATGCTTCGGTGCGGGCTGCGCTGCTCTACGCCTGTGAAACCTGGCCTCTCCGAGCTGAGGATGTGCGGCGACTCTGCGTGTTCGATCATCGCTGTCTCCGCAGGATTGCTTGCTTTCGATGGCATCATCGCGTGAGTAATTCTGAGGTTCGGCGGCGTGTGTTTGAACACAGTGGAGATCACCATTCATTGAGTGTTGTCATCTGGAAACACCAGCTCCGGTGGCTTGGACATGTGGTGCGAATGTCATCCCAGAGGCTTCCGTACAGGTCTCTGTTCGCCAGCCCTGGGACAGGATGGAAAAGGCGGAGGGGTGGTCAGTCCATGACGTGGCGTCGTGGGATGAAGGATATTTGTGCTAGATTAGCATCGGTTAGTGTGTCACGACTCCCTGGTTGGGGTCCGCGAGATAGCTCGAATCGATGGCTCGAAACGTTATCGGACATGGCCAAGAATCGTAATTAATGGCGAACGCGTTGCAATTTCCTTCTTTCTTCCCTTCCTGATGATAGTTAATGAATACTGTTTGAACTTGTTAAACATGACTGTTTTCCTTCCAGATGAAGTTCTTTACCCGTTCTCTACTTATATTTTTACTTTTAATCTATGTTGTTTTATTATTATTGTGTGGCGCATCTTTCTTGGTGCCATATTGTACCAAGTTTTTATGCGTTTAAATAGTAATAATAATAATGTCAACAGAGGGCTGAGTACTTCAATCCAGTCAATCAACGGAAAGTTCAAATTAAATTAAATAAGTTAACAGCTGTTAGTGTCTGATAGGTGAGTCAGTGGCACAACGGTAGAATGCTCGCCAACCACGCCTCATGTGGTCTGGGGTTCGATCCTCGGTTAGTAGTGAGACTGGTAAATAGGGAAGGTTGAACATGAGGCTAGCAACACCATCTGTAAAAATAAATACTACTGCTACCGAAACTTCACAGCTCTAGCTTGAAAGCCTATGTTCCAGTGCGGGTGTAAAGGAATAAAATAATAAATTATGATATATAAACTAAGTGACAGAGACACTAACTGCGGTATTTCTTTTAATCATCAACAAAGGTAAAAATGATACTATCCAGTCGTCTAAGCTGAAGTAAACGGAGAGAAAGTGTGAAACTGTTACTCACTGCCTGAAAGTCAAGTCAAGAATGATACTACGGTTAGTGAAAACAAACACGAAGGAGAAAACAATGAAATGCAGATTTCTGGAAATTTTCCAGATCTGGAGGATGTTGAGAAGTGAATACACTCGCGCAATTTTGAAAACTTTTGAGTTATCTTACCAACAGCCTCCAACCACTGCGCTTCTTGGTATTCCGAGGATTAAGACTCAGCAACATAAACCGCTTTTTAGCTGGCTGGATTCAACATAGAACTTGGCACCGAAGTGCAGCAGTTCGAATTGCCACGTTCCAAATAGCACACAAGCGTAGACAAGAAGATGAGTGAAGAGAATCAATAGAGTTTTGACAAGTATAAGAGTGAAACAGAATGAGTAATGGTAGAAACAAATATGAAAGATTACAGAGACTGAATACATCTGCGTAAGCCACTGACAACGATTTTGAGCCATGTCACCTAGTGTCTCCAGCCATTGATTCTTAGAGTCCCGAGGGCCCCAACCCGGAAGTCTGCATCTCCCTACCTGACTCGGTTTAACTGTCAGGGATTTCATGGATTGATTTATGCCATGTTTATGTTTGACCACCGCTTACTCTTTTCCAGCCTACCTGCACCTATATCAGCTAGTAATGCCCGTCGGGGGAGGCGATAGTTAGGTATGCGCAGCACGTCACCTAGCCATCTCAATCTATGTAACTTTATAGCCTCTTCGATTGATTTTCCCTCTTTGCCGAACACTCTACGCCTAACGTCAACATTACTTACCTTATTATACCACATAACGTGAGAAAGAGATCGTAGACATCTATGATCAAAAACAGTCAACCTTTTCATGTCTTCAACTCGTATTGGCCATGTTTCAGAGCCATAGAGAAGGACGGAGAGAACTGCTGAGCAGTACACATGACGTCCCTTGGTTGATAGCCGGATGTCGCGCCTACGCCAGAGGTGGTGTAAGTTAGCGAAAGCAGCTCGAGGTTTTTGAATCCGTGCTGAGATTTTGTCACCAATCAATCCGTTGGTGCTGATACAACTTCCCAAATAGGTGAAGTGATCAATATGTTCTATCACTTCACTCCCTATCACTAAGCTAGGGGTAGACGTAGTCCAGTTTTTTAGGTGATTTTACAGGCAAACACCATGTCTTGATCTTGTAAGGACACGAGACAAGGATCAGGAAATAGATCCTTTATTGAGAAAATCAACAGATATTTATAATTCTTTATGTACTTTATTATTCGTTATTATTAGCAGAGAAACAGCGTCTTCTGATTGGTTGTTTTTCTGCTGAAGGTTATTCTGTCATCTCTTTGTTGTCGTTTCTTAGGCAGTCCGTTGATATTTCTGCTAATCGTATCCGCCCACGCTAAATCTGCTGTAATTGGTTGTTAAGTCAGTCTTTGTTCTTATTTTTTTTTTCTCATGACCAATGTTGGGGAGGTAAACACTGACGTAAATTGCTGTCTACCGATTTTGGCTAGCAGACGCCTCTCACCAAAATCTGATTGCCTCCAGCTTCATTGATGAAGAAAACTTCATAACTTCGTCGGTTGACTTTTCCCAACCCACACAATATTTCTTATTATATTGCTCCATTAAAAAACTAGTCATCGAATGAACGCACCTATAGTCGAAAATCTTCAATCTCTTGACATTGTATACTTTTAGCAACCATGTATCATCAGAAGGAAGTGCAGCAGTCGATTACATGCTCATCGGTAGGTAGCTCGATGTTACGTCGAAAGCAAGCTGACAAACAGTAAATAAGAATTCCCTACTGACATTTCGTAAGCAACCAATCCACCATTTGAGTCAATGCGACTTCTCCATTAAGTGAAGCAATCAGAGTCGAAAAAAAGACCAGAAAAGATCAAAAGTACACTTTAGTGTAGAGCATTGTCATCTTGGCTTAACTAATCGATCGCACGGCATCCTTGATCGCTTACCATATAACGACGTCAATTCGTGTGGCCACTGCCTATCGACAGTCCAAATATATACTCTGTGTATAACAATACACCCGGTCAACAAATCACAAACATAATTCTTATCTGATTATATTACCAAAGATAGTGTCAATTATTATTATTGTCATCCTTCTTATTCTTAAATCCCTCATCATTTTGCTTATTTGACTGGGTCTTTCACTACTTCTTTTTTCATATAAACTGATTTCTTAAGTAAATGTTTGAGGGATCAGATTGTTCAAAATGTACTGAGCAATCAATATACATCACACAATTTCCTGATAAACTCCATCTTCTTTAATACAACTAACCAAATACAAATGTAACTAGAAATGTTTGTTGTTTTTTTCACAAAAGTGTATAATAATTAAGACAAAGCAACATAAACCAACTAACATCATCCATATTTTCTGATTCACCGACAGTTTGAGCAGTGGACGTATTTCCAAAATTACGAAAAGGTAAAAATCGTGAAAAGAATCCACCAGATTTTGCTGCACTACTGCTACCACTAGAGACGATTGAATCCTTGTCAGGGAGAACACGGCAGTCAACATCAGATGCATGTTTTGAATCCGAATGAAAGGCAGGCTTGTCTGCCAAACAGTTATCACCAGACGATGAAGTTAGTGTCTACAAGAAGAGAAAAAAAAGTAGAATAAAAGTATATACGTATACATATGTATACTAACATTGGGTCACTTCAACATGCATATACCAGTTCACTTGCTCATCTGGAGCTGAGTATATTGACCATACCATGCATCCGCTTGTAAACCGCGCTAGAGAAAAGTATCCAACATGGTTAGCAAAGGAAAAGTGCAAGGGTGTATATACGTAAGTAAAAAAACACCTGGTAAATTCAGGACATTCAGCTCCATTTGAAAAGTCCTTCAAAGTCATATATATACAAGATCCGATCAAACTTCTCAAACAGAGTGAAATCAAGACATCAAAATCAAGAGGCACTAACGATCCAAAAGTCTAAGCCCACACTATGTACTCAAAAATAAAAATATATCTAATCATCGTCTCTACCATGAGGTCATTATAAATTCAGTCTTCTCAGTAGTAATCATCCTATTACCTTTCTTACACAATCTTCCTATTTTCTTTTGGTTTTTTTAAATTCCTGCCTGCATTACTATGTTTTTTATCCAAAATTCCTGCCTATTTGGTTATTACTACGTTTTTAATCGCCAGTCACAACAGTCAACAAGTTCTAGCAAACTGGTCCATGAAGCAATCAGATAAACTGAATGTCCAAACTTCAGGTAAACAAGTTTCCAGTCTCTTTGTTGAAAAGCAACCACCAAAGGACCACGATAGACGGAAAACAGATCTTGTGTAACCTACACACAACTAACTGCCAAAAAGTCCATGAGGAAATAGATAGGGTCCTGAGTCGCATCATCCTGGGGAGAATAAAGGACGCACTGGATACAGACCTCCGACCAGAACAAGCTGGATTCAGGAAAGGCAGATCAGGTTCTCACCAAATTGCAACTCTACGCATCATCATCACAGAACAAAGCATGGAATGACAATCAAACCTCTACCTCAACTTTATAAACCTTGAGAAGGCCTTCGGCAGCGTTGACCGCGAAGTAATTTGGAAACTACTCGAGTACTACGGCGTACCCAAAATATTCATCAACCTTATTCAACAGCTGTACGACAACGGCACATGTCAAGTGATCCACAACGGAAAACTCAACGAGGTGTTTGGAGTAAACACAGGAGTCAGACAAGGGTGCTTATTATCACCAATGATATTCCTAATTGTGGTGGACTGGATTATGCGTCAGACAGTGGGAAACGAGAAGACAGGGATATTCTGGACCGACGTGTTGAATCTAGAAGACCTGGATTTCGCGCGTGGATGATTTATGTTTGATGTCACACAAAATCGAAGACTTACAAGCGGAAACCGACAAACTGGTCGAAGAGGCTGGCAGCAAAGACAGGACTCCAGGTGAACATAGACAAGACGGAGGTTATGAAAATAACCAACCAACAACAACAACAACACCAGCAACATCCAGCGCCAATCACCATCAACGGGAGGAATTTGAAGGTGGTTACTTCATTCACTTATCTAAGGAGCATTGTCTCAACTACAGGAGGAACGGACGAGGATGTCAATTCGAGAATCGGGAATGCGAGAAACACATTCATCAACCTGAAACCAATCTGGAAATCTTCCGTTGTCACTCACCATCAACAACAAAATTCGGATTGTCAATACAAACGTCAAGTCAGTCAGTTCTTCTATACGGATCAGAAACTTGGCCAGTGTGTCACAAAGAATATTTCCAACAGCCTGTTGCAGACCTTTATCAACAACTGTCTTCGCTCCATACTGAATATCAGATGGCCGGAAAGAATCACCAACAAGAAACTATGGGAACAAGCGAAACAAGAACCAATCGCCTAACAAATATCCAGGAGAAAGTGGAGATGGATTGGACACTCTCTGAGGAAACCGCTGGGTGACATCGCGCGTCAGGCCAGTGCTCGAGTGGAACCCGAAAGGGAAGCGGCGAGTGGGACGTCCAAGGGTGACATGGAGGAGATCGTGTGAAGAAGAGTTGAAACAGTATAGATTAACATGGGCGCAGGTGAAAAGTACAGCAGGAGACAGAAACAAGTGGAGACGTGCAGTTGAAGCCCTATGTTCCATTAGGAACCTATGGGAACAATAATAATATAATATGATAATAATACGTTTTTTAGTCAGCGTTTTGAAAATCAACTTATTTGGTAGTTACAAGTAACTCATACAAGAAACTCTACATTGGATAACTTTATTTGATACAGAACACACACACAGAGTAACGCAGTATTCATAAATGGATGACGTTGCGAGCAGAACTCCTACTGCTAATAATCATAGCAGTTATTTTTCACATGACTTCCCCCTTGTTGTTTATTACAATTTTTAATGTATTCAGTATAAGGATTGAGTCATTTCGATTGCTTGTGTTGCTGTTGATTCGATGAACCAAGACTCAGTGATAAACACCTCTCTCATCACTCAACTATATTACTTCTTCACACTACCACTCTATCCCACCATACTGTGACATTGTAACAACAGAAGAACAGGGGCCAGGCAACAGTTTGTTTATTGAGATAATCAAGAGGTAATTTTGGATTTATAAGTACATTATTGTTAGCGGAGAAGCAACATCTTTTGATTAGTTGTCTTTTTGCTGAAGGTTATTCTGTTATATCCTCAAGGTTAAGCTTTGTTATTGTTTTTCTCATGACCTTGATTTGGGACGTGAACATTGACGTAAATTGTTGTCTACAATTTCGGCTTGCAGCCAGCTCTCACCACAACATGATATACAAATGAATGCATAGCAATGGCCAAGCATTTTTCTAGGTTATTTGAGTCAGTCATTCTAGATCCAAATGAATCCCTATGTTCTCAAAATCGAATTGAACCCGATCTACCAGTTTCACCTGTGTAATTGACCTCATTAACAGTCATTACAGGGTATTTGGCACATTAGATTATTTTTATTAATTGGATCTATTGGATCCTTAAGCCAACAAAGTTTATCGTTTAAAGATTCAGAACTGCATTAAAAATTTTACATAGGGCCTTTGATGTTCCCTCTTTATAAGCTTGTACAACAGAGGCTTTGAATTCCATATTAATGTTATTATCATCACTTCCATTACTGCTCTTATTTTCCCTATGAGTATCCATAAATTTCTCATAATCATAGGGCAGAAGTGATAAATATGCTACTGAGACACACCAAATAAAAAAGAACAAACAAAAACAGGCCGCGTGTGACCGGCCTCAAGCAGTTGGCCCCTGGGCTCTGCGGTCATGCAACCGACTTCCACGGTGTGGGCAGCCGGGAAATAACAATCGCCCTCACAATCTGAAATGCAATCCGAACCCACACACCCTATTGTGTGATTGTGTGTTAATGCATGCAGTGCTACAGTTGAGTTTTTCCTAAACTACTTATCTTCGTGGGTGGGATCAATCATTCTAATCTTACCTACATTCTTGTGTTCTGATAATTTCACTGCTCCTGATCTACTAGTTTGACCTATCTGGTTGACCACACTCACAGTCACTGCAAGGTATTGTGTAAATTATATTATTTTCTTTAATCGGGTCAACCCACAGAGTTTGTCCTCCCTGAGTGATTTTGTTGGTCCAAATGCCCTCCCTGATGCCTTCCCTTATTAAGAATTCTACGTAGGGTCTCAGGTGTCCGTCAAGTATATGGTAAAACTGTAGATGGCTTATATTCTTCTTTATTTATTTTATTACTATTAGTTTCACCATTATTTTTATTTTGCTTTCGACCTTTTCTTATCTTCCTAATGAATTTTATAGGAGAGTTATTTCACACCAATACTTCTTTTTCCGTCTGTTTCGCTTCATGGTTTAGGTTTTTTGTTATACTACTCAGTGCTAATGCTCAGTTTGTTAGACACTTAACTAAGCAATCGCACCAAATAGATGGTTCTGTGAGTACCTTGATATGATTATGAGTGGCAATCATTTGTGCTCAAAACGTGGTTATTAGTAAATACTACTTACTGTATCACAGTACTGTGTGACTCTAACATACTGCCCAAGTTTTATCCTGATATCAATGTTACGAAACAAAATGATATAAAAAGTGACACTTCACATTACGATGTAGTTTATTTGTAAGCTGGGTTAACAGTCAACTTGCAACCAAAATTAACAAACAACAAGTACTATTTAATTTCTACTTAAGGATTGAAAAGTCATAGGTCGGTCGGTCGGTCGGTTTTCGACATAGAACTTTGCACATATGTGCGGCAGTTCAAGTCGCCACACTCCATGTAGCACACAAAGCAAGAGAAGAAAGTAGGAGAAATGCATAATATAGACAGTAAACAGAGGTGTGAGACAAAGAAATAGTAATAACGAAGAACAAAACGGTTTCATTGGAAATCATAAGTCACAAGGAGTGGATGCATCTGCGCCACTGAGAACGATTTTCAGCCATGTCACCAATTGTTTCCAACCATTGGTGTTTACCGTCCCGAGGACCCCAACCAGTCAGGAAGTCTACATCTTCCTACGTGGCCTAGACTAACTGTTGTACATTTCATTGACTGGTGACATGTTTTCGTTTGACCACCGCTAGCTCTTTTCCAGCCTGGCCCTATATCAGCTATCATTGTCCATCGAGGAAGGCGATGACTAGGCATACGTAGCACATGTCCTAACCATCTCAGTCGATGTAATTTCACAGTCTCGTCAACTGATTTCCCCGCCTTACCTAGCACTCGACCGAAGTCTAACCTCAATATTGTTCACCTTATTATACCATTTCACACGGGAGATGGAACGCAGACACCTATGATCGAAGGCAGCTGATCTTTTCATGTCTTCTGCTCTCAATGGCCAGGTCTCACAGCCATAAAGGAGGACGGAGCGGACTGTTGAGCAGTACACACGCCCTTTGGTCGATAGTCGGATATAACGTCTACGCCAGAGACGGAGTAAACTGGCATATGCGAAACTAGCCCTCTGTATTTGTGCTGAGATTTCGTCGGAGATCAACCCGTTGGCACTGGCTGATAGTACTTCCCAGGTAAGTGAAGCGGTCAACGTGCTCTGCCACTTCACTTCCTATTTCTAATATAGAGGTCGGTGTAGTCCAATCCTACAGCATCATCTTACATTTTACAGGGGCGAATCGCGTGCCAAACATACGAAGATTGTTGCTCAAGGAGTTCAGTAGACTCTGCATTTTGTCAGCGTCCTCGCCTAGAAGGACTATATCGTCCGCATATTCTAAGTTGACGAGATTATTCCCTGAGTCGCTGAAGTGTGTTAGGGTTAAGTCCATTAGTACATCTATGATGAAGTTGAATAGGAATGGGGATAATGGGCATCCTTGATGGACGCCACTAGTTGTCACCACTTCAGATGACAACTCGCCGTAAGCCCTCACCTGGTTGCATGAGTACGAGTAGAGTGCTTTAATCAGTGCAATGTATTTTCTCGGCATTCCCTTTACAGCCAAGCATCGCCAGAGAACCTCTCGGTCGACAGAATCGAATGCCGCCTTTAGGTCAAGAAATATAATGATTGTCGGACGCCGGTAGGAATGCCTATGTTCTAGAATCTGTCGAAGGGTGAAGATATGATCAATACACCCTCTTCCTGGCCTAAAACCTGCCTGGTTTCCTCATGTTTGTGCCTCGGGATGATCAGTAACTTACACCAACCTGATGGGACTTCGTCTGATTCCCAGACGCTGCCTAGAACCTCAGTTAATGCAGACAGTAAACTGTCTCCACCGTATTTAAATGCCTCTGGAAAAGTCATAGGATTTGCTAAGGTTCAGATAATAATCAAAGGATAGCGTTATCCTTAATACAATATATGTGTAGCTCTTTGCCTTCTCATGAAAGATGTCAGGAATAATAATAATCACAGTGTACACACTATCCACCATGAAAGTAAGAAGAGAAACAAAGATAATCCTTAGCTTACTTACCACATTTGATGCACACTCCACCAAAGATTTACCACCTTCAACATTAGTAGCCTTCCTTTCATCATTACTTCGATTCTTTTCAGCTTTATTGAGCTTATTTCTAGATTGTTTCTTTTCGTTTAACTTGACTTCCTCCTCATAATCATCGATTTCCTCTTTTGAATTCGACGTAGATGAACAAAAAGATGAAGGCGATGAACTGGTGGTCATGTGGTTTTCGCCAATAAACCATTTTTCTATATTCTCATGACCATGATGTTGTACAATAGCACTGCAAGCATCAAAATAGGCTTGCAACGAATCGACTTGTTTGCATAAAATCTCCCTGTTGAATTCATTTCGATTTGAGTTTTGATAGGATGGTGGTTTGTTCGTTTGTTTTTATTTTTTTAAAGAGAAAAATATATAGAGCAGTGAAACGAAAATTTCAACAAGAAAATTAGTCAGTAAGTCAATATATATATATATATATATATATATATATATGTATTAATCAAGGCACTCTACTCAAACTCACGTAGCTGTGTAAGGGCTTATGGGGAATTGTCATCTGAATTGATAACAACCAGTGGTGTCCGTCAGGGATGTCCACTTTCCCCTTTTCTGTTTAACTTCATCATAGATATGCTAATGGAAGTATCCTTAACTGAACTTAATGACTTAGGAATCGACATGTTACCAGGGAATAGTCTTATAGACTTAGAATACGCAGACGACATAGTCCTGTTGGGGGAGGACGCTGACAAAATGCAGAGTCTTCTGAACACCTTGAGCAGCAATCTTCGTATGTTTGTCATGCGATTCGCCCCTGTGAAATGTAAGATGCTGCTACAGGACTGGACTACCTCAACTCCTAGCTTAGTGATAGGGAGTGAAGTGATAGAACATGTTGACCACTTCACCTATTTGGGAAGTTGTATCAGCACCAACGGATTGATTGGTGACGAAATCACAGCACGGATCCAAAAAGCTAGGGCTGCTTTCGCTAACTTACACCATCTCTGACGTAGGCGTGACATCCGACTATCAACCAAGAGACGTGTGTACTGCTCAGCAGTTCGCTCCGTCCTTCTCTATGGCTCTGAAACATGGCCAATACGAGTTGAAGACATGAAAAGGTTGACTGTTTTTGATCATAGATGTCTACGATCTCTTTCTCACGTTATGTGGTATAATAAGGTAAGTAATGTTGACGTTAGGCGTAGAGTGTTCGGCAAAGAGGGAAAATCAATCGAAGAGGCTATAAAGTTACATAGATTGAGATGGCTAGGTGACGTGCTGCGCATGCCTAACCATCACCTCCCCCGACGGGCATTACTAGATGATATAGGTGCATGTTGGAAAAGAGTAAGCGGTGGTCAAACAAAAACATGGCATAAATCAATCCATGAAATCCCTGACAGTTAAACTGAGTCAGACTTCCGGGGTGGGGCCCTCGGGACTCTAAGAATCAATGGCTGGAGACACTAGGTGACATGGCTCAAAATCGTTGTCAGTGGCTTACGCAGATATATTCAGTCTCTGTAATCTTTCATATTTGTTTCTACCATTACTCATTCTGTTTCACTCTTATACTTGTCAAAACTCTATTGATTCTCTTCACTCATCTTCTTGTCTACGCTTGTGTGCTATTTGGAACGTGGCAATTCGAACTGCTGCACTTCGGTGCCAAGTTCTATGTTGAATCCAGACAGACAGATATATGTATGGAGGATTTCATCATGAGCTGACATCAGTTAGAGAACCACTGGAAAACCTGGGAGTACTGAACAGCTGTTTCGTCCCAGTTTGGGATTCTTCAGCAGTACGCGCCCACTGGGATTCGAACCCAGGACCTTCTGGTTACAAGGCGAGCTCATAGACCATTGAGCCACTGGGACCCGATCCAATGGTCCTTGAATTCTAACTTCTGCCAATTCACGACATAGCGCGACCATTCGAAAGATTACAAAGACGTCACAAGAATATACACGTTAGTATATTGGTTGTACTCTCTGAAGTGGACGGCTTAACTGAGGAGCTTTCATTGTGTTTTTGCAGACAACATCTTCAGGATAGACGTGAATATGAAATCAGCTTGTCGAATTCTCCATCACATTTTGGACAGAACCATAATGTGGCAATTTCAGGTTGAAGCAAGGCAACACTATACATAACAACGTGGATTTTGATTATTAACTGATACAATGGGAAAACTTTTGGGGGGGGGCGGCGTCGGGGGCGGGAATAATTCGATGAAAACGTCTACTAACTAATGAATGAAATGCAGAAATATGCTGCTACGATGGTGATTAGGAATAATAATAAAAAAGCATATAGTTCGATTTAAGCGACGCACACACACACACACACACGTGTTATTTACTCAAGCTGTCAATGACCACTTATCTTGTCATAATTTGCCATTTTATTGTATAATTCAGACTCCAGATATTATTTAGCCTCAACTATAAGCCTGTTTTTGCCGTTTTTAAGTTAGTCAGCAAAGATGAAATTTAGCAAAATGATGACAGGCGGTTAATAAGGCTGAAAGAAACCACAATGAAAACGAAAGAAGCACACAAACAAAAAGAATTAATCACACTCCTGATGGTTATTCAATATTATTTGTTATTAATATTACTAACTGACTGACTGACTGACTCACTCACTCACTCACTGACTTTAAGCATGAACACACACGATGTTAGAAGAGCAACTTACTCGGATAACGAAATATTGAACTAATTGAGAGATAAAAGAGAAATTGTATTATCCCATAATTTATTTATTTATTTATTAGGCCATTGATGAAGTTATGTACAGAGATTAAGGCATTTTGTCACAAGTCGATCAATACATCTTAGAGAGCTTACTGGAGCGTAGGAAGCACTGATGATGAGTAGTTCTTTCATACAAGCTGGATAATTAATTATCCAATACAACCAAACTACCAGCACTATGAAACGATAGGTTATAATTGTTATGTCTTGCAATAAGAACATTGGTTGGGGTCGCGCTAAATCACGAATTGGTAGAAGTTAGAATTCATGAACCATTGAGTCGGGTCCCAGTGGCTGAATGGTCTACGAGCTCGTCTTGTAACCAGAAGGTCCTGGGTTCGAACCCCGGTCGGTGTGTACTGTGAATAGTTCCAAACTAGGACGAAACAGACAACCAGTACTCCCTGCAGGTTTTCCAGTGGTTCTCTAACTGATGTCAGCTCAAGGTAAACTCCTCCATACAATATAAATATCTCTTGATTTTCTCAATAAACGATATGTTGCCTGGCCCTTGTCTTCTGTCATTACACCCCTACACCAATCTCACACACAGCTATATATATATATATATATTCCTTCACGTTCCCCAGTGGAACATAGGGCTTCAAGCTAGTGGCTTGAAGTTTCTGTAGCAGTGTTTATTTTACAGGATGGGGTTGCTAGCCTTATGCCCAACCTTTCCTCTTCACCAGCATTATTTCTGGCTTAGCGAGGTAAAGGTACATTCATATATGAGAGGACAACTAAGTCAGTGAACCTATGAGATAAAAACAAAATCCTCCACTTTTAGAATACAACTCATGACAGCAGAACATAATATGTTGTTTGTTAACGGAGTATAAACAGAATGTAGCAGCAAGCATAACTTCAAAATTTACATCACCACCGAATGAATGAATGAATGAATAAATAAATGGATAAAAGTTCACACAAATTAGCACTATCAAAATGAAGCATCACACCACTATACACAATAGACTTTAAATCCCTTTATGATAATAATAATAAATGGTGTGATAAATTTTAGATGACATTAATCAATAGATAACAGAAGAAATAATAAGTATAATAAGTGGTGAGTAGCTTTAAAGTAGAACAAATCTTGTCGTCTACAAATTACACAACAGTAACGCAGTGAAAATTCACACCACACCACAGTTTCTTCTGAAGATTCGAAATAATCAGATTGTACTATGTGATCTGCTGGATACAAGAGATGACAATCGTGAAAGCCAACGAATTAGTGTTATATAGTCAAGCTGTGGTGAGTGCTACTGATAAGATTTATCAGTAGTATATGAAGAGAAATTCATCGGCATCATAAAAAAAATCAAATAGCAAGCAGATACATTTGATTTAAGAGAAGGCGAATGACACAGCATTGTAAAGATACATCGGAAACGTGAAAGAAACATAATGTGAAGTCTCGGTCGGTCGGTCGGTTTTCGACATAGAACTTTGCACATATGTGCAGCAGTTCAAGTCTCCACACTCCCTCCTTGTAGCACACAAAGCAAGAGAAGAAAGTAGCAGAAATGCATAATATAGACAGTAAACAGAGGTGTGAGACAAAGGAATAGTAATAACGAAGAACAAAACAGTTTCATTGGAAATCATAAGTCACAAGGAGTGGATACATCTGCGCCACTGAGAACGATTTTCAGCCATGTCACCAATTGTTTCCAACCATTGGTGTTTACCGTCCCGAGGACCCCAACCAGGAAGTCTACATCTTCCTACGTGGCCTAGACTAACTGTTGTACATTTCATTGACTGGTGACATGTTTTCGTTTGACCACCGCTAGCTCTTTTCCAGCCTGGCCCTATATCAGCTATCATTGTCCATCGAGGAAGGCGATGACTAGGCATACGTAGCACATGTCCTAACCATCTCAGTCGATGTAATTTCACAGTCTCGTCAACTGATTTCCCCGCCTTACCTAGCACTCGACCGAAGTCTAACCTCAATATTGTTCACCTTATTATACCATTTCACACGGGAGATAGAACGCAGACACCTATGATCGAAGACAGCTAATTTTTTCATGTCTTCTGCTCTCAATGGCCAGGTCTCACAGCCATAAAGGAGGACGGAGCGGACGGTTGAGCAGTACACACGCCCTTTGGTCGATAGTCGGATATCACGTCTACGCCAGGGACGGAGTAAACTGGCATATGCGAAACCAGCCCTCTGTATTCGTGCTGAGATTTCGTCAGAGATCAACCCGTTGGGGCTGATGGTACTTCCCAAGTAATTGAAGCGGTCAACGTGCTCTACCACTTCACTTTCTATTTCTAATCTACGGGTCGGTGTAGTCCAATCCTGCAGCATCATCTTACATTTTACAGGGGCGAATCGCATGCCAAACATCCGTAGATTGCAGCTCAAGGTGTTCAGTAGACTCTGCATTTTGTCAGCGTCCTCTCCTAGAAGGACTATATCGTCCGCGTATTCTAAGTCGACGAGATTATTCCCTGGTAGCAGGTCAATCCCTGAGTCTCTGAAGTTTGTTAGGGTTAAGTCCATTAATACGTCTATGATAAAGTTGAATGGGAATGGGGA